GTGTGTCGGAGGGGCGTGAATGCGCGTCGGCGCGTAGCGCGACCAAGTTGCCGCGATGTAAGTTACTTGAGTCGTCGGTGTTGTCCCGCGACGATGTAGTAGCGAATTATCTCCTCGTGGGAGTTGTCTCGTCGCGGGGTAATGGAATTGATCGAGTATCTCCTCGTGGGAGTTGTCTCGCGATAATGTAATAGCACAGAGCTAGTATTCTCCTCGTGGGAGTTGTTATTTATCGACATTGTCAATGTTTTGACGCGTTGCTTGTATGTGTTTACATATAGCCTTGAGCGTGATGTACTTGAGGAGGGAATCAGGCTCTCAATATTTTTTTTATGGGGAGCGTGCCCCTTGTTAGACCTCGTGGGTCGTAAGTATGTTTTGACCGTGGCCACGTTTTAATGAAGGACCCATGGAAAACAAGTAGATAAAAATTTGAGTAATCAAGCTGGCCAGGCTATATAGATTCCCATAATATTTCTAAGTGTTTCTAGGATTGTAATCGTCTAACTTGAGCTTGCGATTATATAGTGAATTTCGGGCGAGTTGTCTCCTCATGGGAGTTGTCTCGCAGCGAAGTTGTAGGAGCATTGGACGCGCGACTGGGGAGCAAGCGGATTCAGGTTGCTCTGAGCGAGTTGTCTCTTCGTTGGAGTTGTCTCGCATCGAGTCTTATTACAGAGCGAGGTGGCTCCTCGTGGGAGTTGCGTTGCGACGAATTTGTAGTGCTGAGCGAGTTGGCTCCTCGTGTGAGTTGTCTCGCTGCGGGTTGTGGTACCGAGCGAGTTGGCTCCTCATGGTAGTTTTTTCATTGCGGGTTCGTAGTACCGAGCGAGTTGGTTCATCGTGGGAGTTGTCTTGCAACGAATTTGTAGTGCCGAGCAAGTTGGCTCCTCGTGTGAGTTGTCTCGCTGCGGGTTGTGGTACCGAGCGTGTTGGCTCCTCGTGGGAGTTGTCTCGCTGCGGGTTCGTAGACCCGAGGGAGTTGGCTACACGTGGGAGTTGTCTCGCAATGGGTTATAGGACGGAGAAAGTTATCTCCTCGTGGGATTTGTCTCGCTATGGGTTGTAGTTCCGAGCGAGTAGGCTCCTCGTGGGAGTTGCCTCGCAACGGGTTATAGGACCGAGCGAGTTATCTCCTCGTGGGAGTTGTCTCGCTACGGGTTGTAGTCTTGAGCGAGTTGGCTCCTCGTGGGAGTTGTCTCGCATCGAGTTGTAGTCCTAGCGAGTTATCTCCTCGTAGGAGTTATCTCGCAATCCCCCCACTCTCGATTCGATGTGGGAGTCAAGTCGAAAAAGGTACCGGATCGTATCGAGGGTAGATCTGTGTTGTAGTGTTCTGTTAATTGTTGGCATGGCGTAGAGAAATATAAATTTGTATTTATCTATTTGGGAGCGTGCGCGAATTGGTGTGGCACGTTGGAGAGCGCGCGCGATTTGGTGGAGCGAGTTGAAATTCTCACGCGATTTGGTGAAGTGCGTCCAAATCTACGTGCGATTTGGTGGAGAGCACAAAGATTTACGCGCGATCTTAGCTATGCGCGCGCTCCAAGGCAGGAGAGGCTGCGCATATTGTATGACGCGCGCATTGGAGAAAGCGCGCATGTGGTCACACGTGCTTTGTAGATCGCACGGTAGGCTGCTATGTTAGTTCAATTTGCGTGCACTGGGAGGCGCGCTCCTTTAAAGCACGGAGAGAGAGAGTGAAGGGCTGCCAAAAAATACATGGGGAGTCGTGTTGCATTTAATTGATGGAGAGAGAGTGTGAAAGCTGACAAGGTTTTTATGGGGAGGCGTGCGCGTTCCTTTGTATGGACAGAGAAAGGAGATGTGATGCAGCATATTGCTTTATTCACTTTTTCCTTTTTTTTTTTTGTTTTTTTTTATCTGCTGACGCGCGCGCGTCTGGCGCGTGGACGCCACGCGCGCGTGCTGAGCACTCGCGTTTTTTTCTCTTCTTCTGCGCGCGCTATCCGAGGTCGGCGGCCCTCGCGCGTGTTGTGCACGCGCCAGCCCCCCTCTGTTTTTTTTTTACTACGTCCACATGTCCACCCTTTGGGGATAATTTTCCATCTTGTTTTGGGGGCACTATAATCCCCCAGGGAGTCGATAACCCTGGCGAACGAAATGTTTTGGGGGCACTGTAAACCCCCAGGGAGTCGATAACCCTTGGCGAACGAAATATTTTGGGGGCACTATAAACCCCCAGGGAGTCGATAACCCTTGGCGAACGAAATATTTTGGGGGCACTGTAAACCCCCACGGAGTCGATAACCCTTGTCGAACGAAATGTTAGATCACCTTAGATAGTTGAAGTAGGATGAGCTGGAAGAGCAGAGTGGATCACTGGCTCACGAGCTTGATGGCCTTGAGATACCTGCGATCATGGAATACGTGAACTAGGCCGGGGGTTGATCCAGCGGAAACTCCTCCGACGCTCAAGTCAGACGTGCGGATAGAGGAAATAGTCCAGAGAATACAGTTGATAGTATTGCTCAGTTAATAGGACGTACCTTAACAAAATGAGTAAAACCTCTATTTATATGTCGTTTATTGGGTTGGGTTTGCTTTGTTGGGCCCAAGCCTCATTTTGAAGGTGTTTGGGCTTTCGTGTAGTGGGCCCAATTATTAGATAATTTGTAGGCCCATTGGGTTTGGCCAATTAGGCATATCAGTACACTTAATAGTTCATCTAGGAAGAGAAGTTCGATTATGTGGACCTGTTCACTTTAGTTGGATGTATCCATTTGAGAGGTAATTATTATTCTATTTTATTTTTCTGATTCATATTTAAGTTTAGTTACACTTTTTACAAGTTGTTTTTTGTTTAGATATATGAAGATACTCAAAGACTATGTACGAAATTATGCACGACCAGAAGGGTGTATCGCTGAATCATATTTTGGAGAAGAATGTATTAGATTTTGTAGTGAGTTTTTGAAAAAATCTATACGGGTAGAGGAAAAAGAGACTCGCAATGATGAATTTTCCAATTTCTGGACCCACGTCAATAACATTAAGCAACCGAGACAAAAGAATTGCACATCTTGCTGTTCTTATAAATACATCTGTAGTGGATCCATATTTAGAGTAAGTACGATTTAATTTTCAAATTTATATTTTATAAGCAAATACTTAGTTAACTTTCTTAATAGCATGCACTTGACGGAGTTGCAAGACTCAAACGTGCGTTTAAGAAAATAATCAACATTGCTTTGGAGTAGACATACCGAAAAATTTGCAGAATGGATAAAAGATAAGGTTAGGTGAAGTTGTTAAGTATTATTTTTATTTATTTAATTACTGTATACTTATTTAAAAATACTTTGTATACCTTTTGATGAATTAAATAATCTACACTATTACAGATCCCTATTGATTCAATTAGTCACTCCAATACATTGAAATGGATCGCATATGGACCACAGGAAAATGCGTTGTCTTATACTAGATATATTATCAATGGACAACGATTTCACACAAAAGATGTCCATAAAGAAACCCAAAATAGTGGGGTGGTTTACGAGGCAACTAGCTTGTGTAGAGCCAGTGCAAAGGATACATCACAAGTGATACGATCCAGCCAATTACGCGAGGTAGTGCCGAGCTGGATGAAGGAGTTAATGACTTGGACGAGCTGCATGTGCCAAGAGGACCGATTACCCGAGCTCGGGCCAAGCGCATTGAAGCAGCCATGCTTAACTTAGTAGAACACGAGCTCCAAAATGAAGAATTGACGAAGTCTAGTTCGATCCCAGCTGAGCTTAATTGGAGCGAATTATCGGGCCAGATTGTGAAGCAAGCCGAGCTCAAGGACTTGAGCCCGTCTAGTCATCCAGCCAAGAAGCCATGACTTGGAAAAGATGATTATTATTAATTTTCGTATTTTATTATTAGACAATTTATTTCTTGTTATTTAGAGTCCTATTTGGACTAGATTTAGTTTATTTCGTTATTTCCTTATAATAGATAAGTTAGGATTTATTTTCCTTGTTAGATTAGGTCTCTTTGACACTTATAAATAGGTTGCTTTAGGGTCATTATTATTTGGACGTTTTTAAGTATTATTTTGAGAGATTAAAATTCTCCTTCGTTGTTCTTCAACAACTCTTCGGGATATTTTGCGAGTGGATTCTTGTGAATTATTCTTAGCACTATAGTATTGGTTTCTGATTCATTATAATCACGGGGTCAATACTTCCACCTTGATAATATTGGTTTCTAGCTCTCTATAGCTACGGGGTCAATATTCCGAATTCCGCCAATCGAATCCTTTATTTTTTGGACGTTCCGTTCTTGCTTCCGCATAAGATTATTGGGTCCCGTAACAAGTTCTACGGGGTTCGTATCAGTTGGTAACCAGAGCCAACATCCAAAACAGGTTTCACCTATCTTTATCTTTATTTTTGAGTCAGTCTTGTTCGTGTCATCGTAGTTTTCTTTTGTCTTTTGTTGAGTCTTCTAGTCCTCTTTTCTCTTATTCTTCGTTCAGTTGTTTAGAGTCAAAAATAAAAATCAATCGAATTTTTGGTTATTTGTTTTGAGTTTGTTTGAGTCTAAGTTAAGTTTTGTCAAAAGTCCAAAAAAAAAAAAAAAAAAAAATCGAAATTTATCTTTTATTTGTAGTTTGTTAGAGCCCAAGTTAGGTTTTGTTAGTGTCGTTAAAAATAAAAAAAGAAAAAAAAAATAGCTTTGATCATGTCCGAGAAGGTTGGTTATAAAGAAGAAAGAATTGAGCAGCGTAGGATGTCGCCAATGGATAAACACTTCCAAAAACTCCAAGATCGGATGGAAGGAATTGTTACCCAACTAAAGGAACTACGCAAAGATCAACATGTTCGAGGGCCATACGTACAGCGTGATGTGCACGAACCAGTTATACCTTATCCTGATAAAGAGGTAGATCGTGATGGAGATTTTGGTGTGAACACTACAAAATCAAGGAGGGAGAGTATGGGACGAGGGTTTGGAATGGATAGATCGAGCCGAGGATATTATGGTCGAGAAAGAGATGGCGTAGATCAAAACTTCAGCTCACTCAAGTTGACAATACCATCTTTCCAAGGTAAGAGTGATCCTGATGCGTACATTCAATGGGAAAGAAAGCTTGAGCTCGTATTCGATTATCATTATTATTCCGAGAAGAAGAAGGTGAAGCTCGCCGTCGAAGCGTTTGTTGACTATGCAATTACTTGGTGGGATCAATTTGTCTTAACTAGGCGCCGCTGTGGCGAACCACCAATTGAAGATTGGGAGTCCATGAAGGCAATCATGAGAAGGAGGTTCGTCCCTTCACAATATTATGTTGGGGATCGTGCATGTATACGCAGCGGAATTTAAAAATTTTATATCGAACTAGTTTCGATTACATGCATAAACTAATCACATAGTCAACGTACCTTAACGCTTCCGCCATACATATGGTAATTATCGATTTAATTGAAAAATACGTAAAACCGAAAATCACGAAACATGCTTATACTTCATTTCACAAAATCGAAACATGTAATCACGTATTACTCATGCTCGCAAATTAATAATCATACAAACATGTTCGAATCGAATTACGAAAGTTCCGATTTAATTACCTCTTGTAGCGTGCGATTTCGACGAATCGAAATCCTAGAACGAGTCACGTACAAGCTGCAAATTACCAATCCTCGCGGCTGCAATTCACGGCTGGAACAAGCTGATCCAGCAAGCAACGAACGGCGACGAATGGCAGCAGCAGCGGCGGCGCGTGGCAGCAGCAGCGGCGGCGCGTGAGCGGCGGTGCGGCGGTGCGTGGATTCGTCGGGGCAGCAACTCCTCTCCAATTAGGTTTCACCTCGTATTTTCGACCCACTCGAACTACAACACTAGATGTAAACGAGTTAGATAACAACAAGAATAAAACGAAGGAAACGAGAGAAGAAAACCGGCGGTTTTCCGGCGGTGGTCGGCGGTGGCGCGCCGGTGGAGCAACGGCCGAAGAGGGGAGCGGCTAGGGCTTGAGCGGCTAGGGTTTGGTGCTGAAAATCTGATCTCAAACTCTTGTTTGAGGTCTATTTATACCTAGGGTTTTCAACCCTAGCGGGCTTAAGTCATTGGGCTTGACACACTGATGCATTAAACCCATTCCCTCGTCGGCCTCGTTTCTAATAAACGATCGTTCACAAAATTATAACAAAATTATATTTGTGACGAGCTCAAAGCCCTCGTCGATACGAGTGCCTCTTCAAAATTTCCAATTTCCAAAATTGGAAACTTCCACTTCAGTGGACTTGCTAAATCGGGAAACTTCCCAATTTAGAAAGTTCACTAAATTCCGCATTTCTCTCTTTCTCTACGTTTATTCCGATTCGCAATCCACAATTACGAATCTTGGATTCAATCATATCGACATCCAATCGTTCAAAGATTAACACATTAATCTATGCTTGTTGTTATCAAGGATCTATATTACACGAGAAGTGTGACCCTCAATGGTTCAGGTGTATGCTAGCCGTGGGCTCACAACTCTTTGTGATTCGAACAACACATTGTTCTTATACGAACTCCTCCCAAGAGTCCCGATTAGAGTAAAACTCATTTTACCTAATCCCGATCAAATCGGTGCCCAACGAATCAAGATTGGCGTCTAGCAACTACGCATCATGATTCCCTAGATACAAATGAAGTGCCTGCAAGAACCTTATGATATAGTTAGCGTACAGTACGATCCTTTCGTAGGACATGTCCCGATTGAACTAGAGGCATTGGTTCACCGAGACCTCTTATAAAGTTCAATAACCGTGCGAACGTTCTAGGTATTATAAATCCGTTCGTGTGCGACTTAGGGAAACACATTTCCCTAATCACCCCACTATCAACTCTGGCCAGAGATTCCATGGATTATAAACCGTCAGAACACACAGGACATCCATGACTACTCAAGCGCTCGAATCCCCTACTACAATGCACAGACTTCACACTAGATTTCGGATTGCCCGAACGTTGGCCCTTGGAGTGGTCCGCGGTGGGACTCAGGGACAGGTCACGATACAATCGGTCCTCTAGTGAAGTCACGGTGATGTCTGGGTCTTAAGGACTAATGGTGTACAACTATATCTTAGAAACCTATTACTCGATGAATGAGAACCACTTATAGATTTCTAGGGCGAGGGAGTTCAGTGAACTCATCCAGTATGAGCACCCACTCAAGTATGCCGATGTCACAACACCGAGGACTGATGAGACGCAGTACACATACACTAAGTGCTAGTCTCAAAAGGGAAAGGCCGGTATCCTCATTATTGGCGTAACCCATCGACTAGGAACAAGGTTTAACAGTTACATTACATTGCTGAGTTATCTCACGATTCTACTAGATCAACTCACAGTAATAGAGTAACCCGTTAGGACTATATCTATGCTGCTTGCATGGGATAACAGATATAGAATGCCAAATAAGATATTTTATTATTACGAACGAAAAAACGATTGTTTTATTACAAGATAAAAGGAAAGACCACAGCCACAAGTTGGCTTGTTGGTCACCTACTCCAACAATCTCCCACTTGACCTAAAGCCAACTACTCATAAATCTAAGTCCCATCGACTCTCGATGTTTCTCGTGGACTGATCCTGACAATGGCTTGGTGAAGGGATCTGCAATATTGTCCTCCGAGGTGACTCTGTCTAGCTTGACTTCACCTCTCTCTATGATCTCTCGGATCACATGGTATTTTCTCAACACGTGCTTCGACTTCTGATGAGCTCTTGGTTCCTTAGCTTGCGCTACGGCTCCGTTGTTATCGCAGTACAGCCGTACTGGATCGCTAGCGTTCGGAAATACACCCAACTCTTGGATGAATTTTCTAATCCATGACCCTTCCTTTGAAGCATCTGATGCTGCAATATATTCAGCCTCGGTGGTGGAATCAGCCGTCGTGCCTTGTTTGGAACTCTTCCAACACACGGCACCTCCGTTGACTTTGAATATATACCCCGAGTTTGACTTTGAGTCATCCACGTCCGATTGAAAACTAGAATCCGTGAAGCCTTCTAATTTCAACTCGGTATCCCCATAGACCAAAAACAAAGCTCGAGTTCTTCGCAAGTACTTGAGAATGTCCTTCACAGCCTTCCAATGGGCTGGGCCGGGGTCGGACTGATATCTGCTTGTGACGCTCACAGCATACGCAATATCAGGTCGTGTACATAGCATGCCATACATTATGCTTCCTACAGCGGATGCATAAGGTGTCCTTTTCATCTCCTCGATTTCCATTTGCATTTGAGGACGCATGGATTTCGAGAGACGAACCCCATGGGACATTGGAAAGAATCCCTTCTTGGATTCTTCCATGCTAAACCGTTTGAGAACGGTGTCTATGTACATGGATTGGGACAAGCCAAGCAATCTCCTCGATCTATCTCTATAGATCCGTATTCCCAATACGTAGGATGCTTCTCCCAAATCCTTCATCGAGAAACGTGTGGATAACCATACTTTAGTCGACTGCAACATCCCTACATCATTCCCAATGAGTAGTATGTCATCAACATAAAGTACAAGAAAAGTCACTGCACTCCCACTAACCTTCTTGTAGACACAAGGTTCCTCCGGGTTTTTCACAAATTCAAACTCTTTGATAGTTGTGTCGAACCTTTTGTTCCAACTACGGGATGCTTGTTTCAATCCATAAATGGATCGCTGGAGTTTGCAAACCTTTTGCTCATCTCCAGAAGATATGAAGCCTTCCGGCTGCGCCATGTAAATTTCTTCCTCAATGTCCCCATTAAGGAAAGCGGTCTTCACATCCATTTGCCATATCTCGTAGTCATACCACGCAGAGATGACCAACAAAATCCTAATGGACTTAAGCATAGCAACTGGAGAGAAGGTTTCCTCATAGTCAACTCCTTGCTTTTGAGTATAACCCTTCGCTACCAATCTAGCCTTGTAGGTCGATACCTTTCCATCTACTCCAATTTTCCTCTTATAGATCCACTTGCAGCCTATGGGAATGATTCCCTCGGGTGGATCTACCAAGGTCGATACCTTGTTGGAGTACATAGAGTCCATTTCGGATTTCATGGCATTTAGCCAATGTCCCTTGTCTGTATCCGATACAGCTTCGTTGAAAGTTCTAGGATCACATCCTTGGTCAACTTCATCAACGAGGAATAACCTATCGGGCGCTCTCCGAACTCTTTCGGATCTACGCAGCGACGGTTCAGGAGGTATATTAGTGGTTTGTTGAATTGGTTCATTATCTGATTGTTGTGCTTGAACTTCAGATTGTGGTTCTCGAACTTCTTCGAGATCAACTACACTGCCCTTTCTATCCGATAGAAATTCCTTCTCAAGGAACACGGCATTTCTCGAGACGAACACCTTTGCCTCGGAAACATAGTAGAATTCGTATCCCATGGAATCCTCGGGATATCCCACAAAATAGCATAGGTCGTATTTTCCATCCAACTTATCTCCCACTAGCCGCTTCACGTAAGCGGGACAACCCCATATCCTAATATGTTTAAACGTGGGTTTCTTGGAGTGCCAAAGTTCATAAGGTGTGGAGTTAACTGCTTTGGTATTAACCCTATTCAGCAAATACACGGCAGTTAGGAGTGCATGACCCCACAGGTATGCCGATAGCTCGGTGAACCCCATCATAGATCGAACCATGTCTAACAGTGTTCGATTCCGACGTTCGGAAACTCCATTAAGTTGAGGAGTTCCAGGAGGAGTCCATTGAGACAGAATCCCATTCTCTTTAAGATAGTCTATAAACTCAGTACTTAAGTATTCGCCACCACGATCGGATCGTAGTTTCTTAATACGTCTACCGAGTTGGTTTTCTACTTGGTGTCTAAAATCTTTGAACCTTTCAAAAGTTTCAGACTTATACTTCATTAAGTACACGAAACCATACCTAGAATAATCATCGGTAAAGGTAACGAAGTAGTTAAAACCACCCCTAGCACTAACGCTTAGTGGACCACACACGTCTGAATGGATCAAATCCAAAAGACCCTCGGCCCGTTCCATCTTCCCTTTGAAGGGAGTCTTGGTCATTTTTCCTTTAAGGCAGGATACACAAGTTTGAAGTGATTTAACGTCCTCCAAGGAGAACATTCCTTCACTAACAAACTTGTTCATCCTTCTCAAGGAAATGTGTCCTAGTCGAGCGTGCCAAAGTTGTGCGGGGTTAAGACTTATATCTTTTCGTTTTGCTGATATAACGTTAATGGGTATTTCACTTGGATTCAGTTCATATAAGTTGTTTATAAGTTGTCCCTTACAAATCATATTTTGTTCCTTTTGTAT